GTAAGTTGGTGATGCCACAAAGATTAAGAGATGCCAAGATGTTTTTGGAGTCTACGCACAGTTGATAACGCTACACAAAATAAGAATTCTTGATAAACATCTATACACCCAAAAATGTTGTGAATATCAGAAATACCAGAAAAAATTTACTGGTAAAGATTATGGAAACTTACCAATGGAAGAATATAAATATTGGTATATGCTTGAGCAAGGAGGGGGAGAAGCATGAAAACATGGCGGAGAAGAAAAGCAAGAGACATTGAAGGTTTTGTGGAATAAAAGGTGTTAATTGAAAAGAACCTGAATAATATTAAGACTCTGCTACAAGTCAGATTCATGACATTATAATATCCATTAAGCGCGTTTAATCGAAACAAAAACTAATGCACTTAATTGGTTGAATCTGAATGATTAAGATTCATATCTTACAAACAAATGCACTTAATTGTCTGAATCTGAACAATTCAGATTAAGACCTCCATCAAGTGCAAACAAATTAGGCACGAGTGATGTTTGCCTCTAAAGTGCTAGTTGCCGACTGATTCCCATAGGAAGGGAACAAACATTAGAGTTTTAGCAGCTGATATGAAGCCTACACCAATCTTTTCTCTCATATAAACAACTAATCCTCTATTACAGATCTTAGATGTTAGATGCCTCAAAATCCAAATCTCATTTTTAGAAAAGATAAGACAGAATAACCAAAGCACCATTTGCATTTAACCTATACAGGTCAAAAAATGATGTTACAATTTTTTTGGATAACTATGAGAAGTCTGTAAAAACATCAAAAGAAGCTACATTCTTGATTGCAGGACTCAAGATTGAATCGTTATTTAAACAAAATGAAAATTCAGTAAAGAATTCCACAAAGCGTACACTGAATTCCTTTTTACACCCAAAACTACTATTGGAATCAAGATCCGACATGAGTAAAGAATTAATCAGTAAAACAACCTTAGAGAATGAAAGGAGAAGATAAGACAGAGAGAGATTTAGGACATACCTTAAGATTGTTTATTCACTTCAGTGTGCGCAAAAAGTATTGGGTGAAAATTGTGGGATGTTACTTGTGCTTTGATGAGGAGTAAGAGTTGTATACAGAATCTTGGTCAAATGGAATGGAAATGTCATCCACCTGTAAATTGATTCTGGTCAACAATCTTTAACATTTTTTCCTTTTTTGCTATCCTACCTGTTTATTTGATAAATGAAAAAAAAAGAAAAAAACTAAGTGACATTTTCTTTTGAGTTAATATCTCTAAACTCCCTAAACTATTCACCTATTTCCAGTTGAACACTTAAAGTATGGGGTATTGTGGACAATTATTGTACACCCCTGAACCATAGACCGCGTGATCTGGAGAGCGACGGTCAAAAAGAGGATTTATGTGGACCTAGTACACTGTGTGAGGTCCGTCATTTTCTCAGATTCACCTCATTTTTCTATTACTTGAACGGCATTTTATGCAAATTGATTACTTAATTTTCTTTCTATAAATATCAAAGTTAAAATTGGCTGGTAATCCTTCGGGGTGGCCCAGTGATTTGAGCTTGGGACTTCCATGTTGGAGGTCTCAAGTTCGAAACCCCTTGCCAACGAAAGCAAGGGGTTTGCCTTTTGGGTTGTCGCACTAAGCTTGCCTAGTGCGGGTTACCTCTCCTATGTGGTATGCGAGCTATTGCATAGGAGCAGGGGTTTTACCCTGCGCGCACCCAAAGGGTAGCGGCTGCGGGTTTCCCTTGTCATAAAAAAAAAATTGGCTGGTAAATTCTATCCAATATATAATAATATTTAATATTTCTCTGTTTTCAGAGAGCATCTTAGTAACGATTGACGGCCTCCTCTTTGAAGACTTAAGAGATGTAGATTCTCTAAATTATTTGACTTTCATATTCCTTCAACTAATCACTCTCATAAAATTCTCAAATTGTATTCTTTGAAGTGTCTAATCAGTAAAGTGACCTACAAACATTTGATACTGTTCACAAGTTCGAAGAACACGAGACTCTTTACTCTTTACTGTTATTTATCATACACTCTACGGTAACATTGAAAAATTATGTAGTCCTTGTAATTCAAAAAAATATATATAGATTTTTTACCTTTGAAGACGATATTTTACCTCTGCCTGTTCAAGTCATTTACCTCGTCTTTCAGCAGTAAAATGATAATAAATGGAAATCAATCAGCTATATCTTTAAAATGAGATTAAAGCAAGTTGTGATAAAAATATTTCTAATGAACATGCATTCATAATCAGGAAGAGATTAGCCGTTTGAAATATGTCATGCATTATTTCAAAAATCTTCAAATCATCTAATTTGATTTTACGTCAAGATTTAAATGATACAAATGAAATTTACACAAATCTTATGTCGTGTCTGCAAGTATTTGTAACATTTACATTTATGAAAGGAAAAAAGAAAAGAAAAAAAATCTCCCAAGTGGTATCCAAGAGTTCTTAGGAGCATTAAAATTTGATAATGAAAATATATAATTCTTACGTGAGAAAAAAGATTTCTTCTTCTTTTCTAAAAATAACAATATAAATGAGTTATATGAGAGTTCTTAAAGTCATACTCTGAACGAGAAGGGCTTAAAATTGTCCTAATGTATTGTAAAGGAGGAAAGGCTCACAACAATCAACTATTATTTGGACTTAGACTCAAAATGATTCTATTTCTTTCACATGGTGTACTTTCAGACATAACCCTTACTATGGTGAACTTTTTAACAGAAAACGTCATATGCTTCTCACGTGTTTCTGATCCTAATATCTATTCTCCATTCTTCTGACCATCTGCAGGCAAAACGTCATATATATAGTAGTCTTAACAGAAAACGTCATATATATAGTAGTCTTGTTTGTAACTTCTTTGTTTGCTTCCATATGACCTGCTCGTGATGGATTTTCAACCGGATCAATTTTAGTGAACTTCTCGAAAGCCAACCTGTGTATGAAGGAAAATTTGTTTAAATTGCCTAGAGCTTTTTTGACAGTATTGTTTTTCGACGGTCCTTTGACTTAGATGGTTAACAGGGTCTTCTTAGTGTTCCATAACAACTATTAATACCTATAATCACTTCAAGTTAATTACTTAGCATATAGATATGTTTCTGGTTGAATGATTGGTAGTTCATTATACCAGCAAGGCTTGCTACCTATTGTTAAATGGGTTGAGATTCCATCGACAAGGCAACAATATTAGTAAAAGTCAAAAGCTGTAAATTGAGTTGGCTGTGATAAATGGATATAGTATGATTAATTTAGCAGAAAACTAAATATTCACATAAAGCTTAGAACTTTTCACAACAAAAATCTAAAATTTCAAATGCTTCACATAGAAGTAAATCAAATGAAAAAAAATTGAATATTCTGGAGAAAGAAAACATACCCAGAAGACATAATAGCTTATAACACTATTGAAAATTACCTGCTCTGAGAAATATGATAGATCTGAGTCCTCAATTTCCATCTTCTTTGAATCAGACCCATCAATTCCTCTTCAGATTTCTCTCCGAGTTGAATTGTGGGTGGCATCTCTTCCTCGAAATCTGTGATAGTGATCATGATCAGGTAAACCAGAAATCTCCGAGACAACATAGTATAAAGTAAAATAGGTTGTCGGAGAGAGGTGTGATTGAATCTTTCAGTTGTTTCCATAGATCTACAGCCATACTTGTACTTGGAGAAGACGAAGGGGAGGAGACTACAATAGCTTCCTTCCACACTGTTTGAAAAATTTTAACACCCTGTTTATTTCCTTTTTTTCTTCTTCAATTTTAACACCTTGTTGATTAATAATAATACTCCCTCTCTAAAAAAAAAAAGATAATCTAATTTAATTTAAAATGGAGTTTAAGAAAAATAAAAAAGACTTTTTTATTTTTAATTCTAAATTAAAATTATGTCAAATATATCAAAAATATTCTTTAATCCCGTGGCATTAAACATGACAGATGAAAATTTAATTTTAAATGTTGCCAAAAAAGTGGATGAGTTATTCTTTTTTAAACAGAGTAAAAAGGAAATACGATCATTCTTTTTGAAACAGATGGAGTATATTTTTTTCTTTAACTTAGTAATCTAATAATTAATTGTTTTTTTAGTAAATCTTTGATTTAGCAAATATAAAAATTATATTTATATGTTTTGATTAGAGTTAGATGTACATATACATAAAAAAAATATGTATTCGATCTATTTGTATATTTCGATATACAAATGGATACTGAATTTGTATATTTCGCTATACAAATGAATTTTGCATTTGTATGTTTCGATCTATTTGTATATTTCAATATATAAATGGATCCTGCATTTGTATAGTCCGATATACAAATAGGCTTGCATTTGTATATTTATGTGTACAAATGTAATAACAAAAAACTTCGAATATTTACTACGAATTACAAATAAAAGAAACTTAAGCAATAACATTTAATTTAAATTAATAATTTATTATTTTCGTATAATTTCCCCAAAAAAGAGTACTTTTGTTGAGAAATAATGTGTTGGGCTAATTAATTGGAAAAATTACACGTAAGATTAATAATAGTGTTTAATTTTTAAAAAGGCCCTTGGTGTTTGACCAAGCTCTAATATATACCCTCAAAATTGTTTTCAAAAAGAGCACTACTGAAGAAAATTTACATTTTCCGACATCGAATGAAACAAATTCTGCTACTTTTCATTCACCCAAAAATTTAACCAAATATCTCACTTCTTCACATAAGCATTTTTTTTTTTATGGGAAAATAGACACTTTTAGTGTCCTAAAAGCTTAGCCAAACATTAGTAACTGGATATATAATCCAGAGCAGGTTTGGATTAACAGTGTGCACCTCACACTCAACACTTCCAAAGTTTGGATCTTGAGCTCAGAATATTTTTTGCCATTTCCTCAATGATATATGCAGAATTTTTTATACTATGCATCAAGTGATTCAAGATCTTCCCATATACGAATAGCCCTGCGTATTGATCGATATTTTATTTTGTTTCAAGAAGGCATAACAACTCGTTTAAGCTGTGGACACCTGAAAAAGAGGAGATCTAATTAGCTGTTGCTTCTTCTGTAAGAACAATGGAAAATTATAGGGCATCTGATATTTCTGAAACGAAGCTTGCCGTATGGTTTCTTGATTTGAGTTATAATTATAATACTACAGAAAGATGAAAGTTAATAGGGGAAATACCTCTCGGCAGTAAAACTCAACTGATTGTCGTTAACATGCATATTGTGATGGAAAATCAATGTTTGTATGTTTCCACGACAAAAGTTCAAGCAAATATTTAGGAGGCGGGTTAATTTTTCTTGAGACGGACTGTACGACCTTCCTTGGGAATCTGATGAAATTCGATTGCAATACTGAGTCCAGCATTTTCCAGAGAAGTTGATCAGAACAAGCCCATTGCCATGCACGACAAACTTGAGGAATTACAGATATCAATTGGAAAAGGTTAAAGTATCTTCACCAAGATATCATTTTCAAGGTCCTTCAATCACCATAGCATTCAATGTTCTTTTAATTTGAAATGGCATCATAAAAGCTTCAATCTCCTAGACTCCTGTAGAAACAAGAAAACTTATTATCCATGAAGAATATTTGAATACCTGACATCAAATTGATGTTGCTGAGAGTCATTTTGTGAATATACTCAGATCATGAAAAATAAAAAGTTAACCCTCTGCAATATGAAGAAACATAGAAGATTCTACAAATACATCTGAGGAGTACTGCGATGCCCAAAAGTGAAGAAACTAGAAAAATATGAGCTTTACAATAGCTATGCTTCAACCCAAACTAATTGAGGTCTGGTTATATGAACACTCAATATACATTCTGTTCCATTTGGAGCAGTTGCATTCCAATACACAGATTATTATTAAGGATACTCTATTACAATGGTTTTTCTATACTTTCTATCGAAATAAAATTCAGTAATGAACTAAAAAGATTCTGGCAAACAACATACTTAATATAAGTGTGGCAACATAAACTAAACCTTAATTCTAACCATCAGAATTACCTATGCATCTAGTGCATCCTTTATATTTTTGTAGTCTGTTAATTTCACCAGAAAATTGGAAGTCTTTTGGGACAATTCTGTCCATGTGATTGTAATGACCTCGTCCATATTTACCTTCAACCATCATAGTATCAAACCTATACACCAGGGCAATTGAACTTCTATGGTACACATGTCCAAACTATAATCCAGGACCTTCTTTCCTTTTATCTTCTACATGTGCTACTTGTACCTTAATCATCACTCATACTCTCTAGTTTGGTAAAACCACACACCATCATACCATTCACATTTCTACAACAACCATTTCCCGATATGCACTCACGCCATACGCCATCATTGGTTTCACAACTGACTTACGGTAACCTATTTCACTCTGGTTTGTATCTCCTTAATAACACTCATCCACTTCAACTATATGATTTTTATATTTTGCATGTTGGTGTATCAGAATATCATGCTAACGTAAATGATTGTTGGACAGAATAGGGATGGAATTCAGTTTTTAGAAGATTTCTCAATGATTGGGTAGTAGAAAAGGGTTGCAGAGTTACTAGGGAAGTTAGGTGGAACGAGAATAGACACAAATGCCACAGACAGGATTCTATGGAGGCACAAAAATGATGGTCTTTACACAGTTAGCAATGCCTACAGAAGAGGTCTCAAACTGATGTCAGGAGACCCAAACTACCAATGGAGCTATTTTTGGAAGGGGGACATTCCTACAAAAGTGAAATGTTTCACCTGGCTAGTGATAAATAGGGCTTGTTTAACACGGGAAGTATTACAGAAGAAGGGTAGACAAATGGTTCCCAGATGCTTTTTGCGCAATTTGACAGGAGAAACAACAATCACCTTTTCTTGCCTGTAACCATACCAATCGAGTCTGGAATTTATTTCTTAGCATTTCAAATCTGAATTGGACAACGCCAGAACATACATCAGAATTGTTGAAGAGCTGGGTAAGGAGAGGAGGCAGCAAGAGCCCAAGAAGATGGTGGAGGTTAATACCAATCATGTATATGGTGGTCAGTTTGGAAGGAAAGTAATGGTAGATGTTTTGAAAAAAGATCCAATTCCATTCACAAGGTCAAATGGAATTGTATAGTATCCTTAATTTTTTGGTGCAAACAGTTGTGTATATTAGATACAGACCAGATTGTAGATTTGATAGGAAGTTTGTAACTGACACTTTTTGGTGGTGACCAGCATATGCCCTTAATGCTGAAGAATAAAATCTTACCAGTTTCAAAAAAACAAACTAGTTTATAATCACAATAAGCAATTAATAAAAGAAATGATATCCGAAATAAAGCATCATACAAATTGGGACAGTTGGAGTATTTATAGAAAGTCTTCAACAACAGAACCAATGATAGTTGGTAGGGGGTCCGTATATGACTAAATTCTATATCAAAAGCTAAACTAGCTAGAAAACATGATGGATAGTCTTTAAGGTTAAAACATAACACCTAAAAGCACAAAAATATGCTTAAAGGAAAAGGTGAGAGGACCTAAATGAAATTGATAGTCTATGAGTATGAAATGTTAGGAATCTTGATGAATATCGAACTTCTAAATCAATCATCCAGGTTGAAGTATACATAATTCAGAAGGGATTCCTTTATTAAGTACTTTGTTCATTTCATTTTTGTGAAGATGTTTGACTGATCAAGACATTTGACATGTTAATTTGGTGTTATACTGATAATGGAAGAAACTAATAAATTATTGGTTAAAAAGAGATATCACAATAAAATTAAAGAGGGAATAATTTATACATCTTAAATTCTTAAAAGCGGTCATAATTTTATAAATAGGATGTTCCAAAAAATCTGGAACATCCTAACCTAAAATGGGAAAAGAGTCGTATAAATTGGAACATAGGGAGTACAAATATTTCAGGATGCAAAATATTCATCCAAGGAGAACTTGAATGAAATGGTACTTCACTGTGGTTCTTGTTTACTTCTCATAAACAAATTAGAATTCTCACCATACATCATGTTTCTCAAATGAGTAAAGTATCAAGGGAAGTATAAACAGTCAATTATGGAACACAGATATTACTCAAGATACGTGTGGAATAACTTTGACTAGAGTCCATGGAAACAATTGGGAGGGAAATTGAGGTTTTTTTATTTTGAGAAATTTAACTAGTCTTATAAAGAAGTACACCAATAGACAATAGTGAACACTTGTAGTAATTACATCAAAAGTATAGAAGGATTGTCGATAAGAATCTAAACACCTATCGCCCTCATAAACTATCTAAGAATAGGTGATGTCCCCCGGATCCTTGGGTACTAAACAATTCATTTTAATACTTTGGAAAGGGTCAAAACATCTCTCATTTGTCTCACTCCATATTGTCCACCAAATGTAGGCAGGGACAATCTTCTATCTCTCCTTGTGTCCTGACTGATTTCAATCTCTATTTCCACATGCTAGGACTTTTGCACATGGTTCATGTGATACCTCTCAAGTTAACGAAATACTTCCATAGTGTTAGGATTCTTAGAGAAGAATCGAGTCACAGGACGATGAACAGGAAAATCTAAATCAATTGACTTCGACTTTCCCTTGCCTTTGTTCGAATTCCTAGATCGACCTATCTTTGTATATAACTTCAGCTCATTGAAGGGAGACTGAAACCTTAGAGTTCAATGGAAGAGAGAACTCCGATTTCTTGCTTTTTACTGAAATATGACTAAATAATTTATTCATCAAAAGCCCATCTTTATCCAACTTCCATATCAATTTGTCTTCCTCACTGGTGAGGTTCTTGGCTTGTTCTTAGGTGTTGTAGGATTGCGTCATTTTGTCTCTTCCCAGTCATTGAGGAACCTTCTGAAGGTCAGGCTCCATCTTAGTTCATTTCTGACTTATCAAATGTAGCTATTTTCTGTTGATTGAGAATATAAATGCCAAGGAACTATTGTCTCAAAGGTGTTTGTCCCACCCGTATATCATTCCAGAACAAGGTTTTTCTCCCATTTCCGACATTAATAATAAAATTACTCCACATTCTTGGCCACTGATTTCTAATAGTTCTCCAAAGACCCACACCATAAGTTAATATTAACCTCCTAAGTAGTCCATGATCCTTCCTTTCCATATCTTGTAATGATAATGTGTTTCTACAAGCTTTGATCATCTGATGCTAGTCTCCAAAGCCATTTTAACAGAAGGCTTTTTATTGTGGGCTTTCAAATTCTTAATTCCCAAACCCTCCCTCTTTTTTGTTGGTTACGAGGGCATCTCACTTAACAAAATGAAATTTCTTTTCCCTTCTCCATTACCTTTCCAGAGAATTTCTTCTCATTGTGTCCAGCTTCTGAATGACCTTCCCCGTCATAGGAAAGAGGGATATCATATAGGTCGGCATGGCCGCAAGAACACTGTTGATCAGTGTGAATCTACCACCCAAGGATAGGTATTGACATCTCCAATTAAGCAACTTCTTTTTACATTTTTCCACCACAGAGTTCCAGATGCTCAAGGATTTACTCTTAGCTCCCAAAGGCATTCCCCTGTCTTGCCACCTAAAATGTTTGCCAGGGGCTGATCTCTGATACTTCAATTCATGGGGTAGATAAAACTCTTTCCCCAATTACATGAAGTTCAGATATTGCTTCAAACGAAATGAAAATAATCCTTAGGCTTTTCAGCTGTTCACCCTCTGCAATCCAAAACATTAATGTGTTTTCAACATATTGCAACTGTGATACTCCCAGTGAATTCCCCTCACTCACCTTGAAGCCCCTAATTCTGTTATTAACCTGAGCAATCTTCAGCGGTTGAAAGTTGTTTCCAAATTTGAAAACAACTTCAAGTTGAATTTGAAATTTTCATGGCCAAACAACTAATTTTTTTAATAAATCAAAAAATTACTCCGGAAAAAAGTGAATATTTTCATGAACTTTGAAATGATGCTTGCTGTATGGTTTTTTTATTTAAGCTATAGTATTATAGAAAGATAAAAGTTTGTCAGGGAAGTACCTATTGGCAGTATAAGTCAATTGATTGTCGTCAACATAGAAATTGTGATGGAAGATCAATGTTTCTATGTTTCCATGACTGGGTTCATGCAGATCTTTAGGAGACGGGACAATTTTTCACGAGACGAGTGCCCACAAAATACATATGGCTTTGTTGAAATTATGACAAAATTTGATTGCAACACCGACAAGTCCAGCGTTTTCCAGAGAAGTGGATCAGAACAAGCCAATTGTCATGCGCGACAAACTTGAGGAATTGCATACATCAACTGGAAAATGTCCAAGGACAGTAGTATCTTTACTAAGATATTAATATCAAGGTCCTCCCATCTCTTACAGGAGCATCTCCTTTTTCCATAACAGCTTCAATCTCCTAAACTCCTGTAGAAACAAGAAAGGTTATTACTTCACTAGATCCATGAAGAAAAATAAATAAGTTAACATGATTGGTGCATTTAAGTAATTATAATAACAATACAAGTACAATAATAACAAGGGCTTGATCTCAAAATTTTGGAATAGATTGTATGGCCCCTTTGTAATCAACTAATCATTCTGCTCTACGTGGGTTCAAATTTTCAACACTACTTTACAACAACTTAAATGGAGTGATATGGACATTGAGTATACATATAGCCAACCCCAACTGGTTTGGGATTAAGGTGTAGTTGTACTTTACAATAGCTATACTTCAAACCTAAACTAATTGAGGTCGGTAATATGAACACTCAATATACATCCCGTTCCATTTGGAGCAGTTTCATTCCAATACTCAGATAATTACTAAGGGAGGTGTAGTTGTACTTTACAATAGCTATACTTAAAACCTAAACTAAAGTCGGCTATATGAACACTCAACATACATTCCGTTCCATTTGGAGCAGTTTCATTCCAATACTCATATAATTATTTACCAAAGGCTTTCTCTATTTTCTACTGAAATACAAATCAGTAACGAACTAAAAAGACTCTTGGCAAACAACATACTTGATACAAGTGTAGCAACATAAAATAAACCTTAATCCTAACCATTGGAATTACCTCTGGATCTTGTGCTTCATTTATATTTTGTATTTAGCTAATTTCAAGAATCTTGAAATTGTAAGCCTTTTGGGATAACTTTGCCCGTGTGATTGTAATGTTTAGCTCGTCCTTTCGACCATTTTAACACCTTCAACCATCAGTGCCAAACCTATACACAAGTGCAATTGAAATTCTAACGCAGACATATCCAAACTATAATTCAGGACCTTCTTTCTTTTTTATCTTCTACATGTGCTACTTTTGTACCATGTCATAATCATCGCTTATTTTATCTAGTTTTGTATGACCACGCACCATCACACCATTGGCATTTCTACAACACTCAATTTTTCTGATACGTATTCAAGCCATACCCTGTCATTAGTCTCACAACTATCTAACAAATCCTATCTTCCACTCTGGTATGAATCTCCTTATCGGATGACACTCTTCCATTTCAACTATAAGATTTTAATCTATGTGTTGCCTTTGTTAGATTTTATTTGCCCTGATTTCTTACCATAAATAGGTTTTCCTTTTAGAAAAATGATTTGGATTGACTTATCTTTTTTCTGGTACGATAAGGTTTAGGACTCTATAAATAGAGGTATGTTCCTTCTAACTTAATCAGCATTCACAATGTAGTCTTAAAGGCTTTGAGAGTTTTGGTTAGGGAGAGAATTTATGGGTCACAAGCCTGATACGTTATCACTTGTGTGAACCTCCCATGTATTCTGAGTGAATTTGATTGAGGTTGTTTCCCTCTGTATTTTGTACTCTCATATTTATAGTGGATTGCTCATCTCCTTTGTACGTAGGTCGATTGACCGAACCACGTTAAATCTTTGTGTCTTTTGGTTTCGAGGTTTGCTTTGCTAGCTTTCGTATTTACACCTGCTTATTTTCGATCCTAACATTCCACTCTGGTATGAAACTCCTTTTCGGATGACACTCCTCCATTTCAACTATAAGATTTTAATCTATTGTGTTGCCTCTTCGTCTAACAGAATATCATTCCATTGACGTGGAAACTGAGTGTAGACATATAAACAGTCTCGAACTCACTTTGATGATCTCAGATGTGAATAAAGAAGTGTTGTGGTGAATAAATGATCAATGTAATACTAGTTTATCCTCGCAGTAACGAATTGATAAGAAAATGATATAAAATATTTTGTAATTTCCCGAAATAAAGCATCATACAAATTGTGACAATGGAGTATTCATAAAAAGTCCTGAACAACAGAATCAATGATAGTGTGGTTCTTGTCTTCTTATCATAAACAAACTAGAGTTCTCAACATTCATCAAGTTTATCAAATGAGTGAAGTATAAATTGAAGTATAACAATCAATAATGGATTTATCAAATTATATGAAGCATACAGAAGAAAATATATAGAGTTTTTAAAGTCATACTCTGTACGAAAAGGGACAAAAATGTCCTAACATATTTGAAAGGAGAAAAGGCTCAAAATGATCCTATTTCTTTCACATGGAACAGTAATAGTCCCTATTCTTTGATAAAGCGGTGGACAACACTAGGGGTGTAGAAACCGAATCATTAAGTCAAATCGAATCGACGAACCAAATCAAACCGGAAAAAAATCGACTTGTGGTTTGGTTTGATTGGTTTGGCGATTGAAGAAAAAAACTGACCACTCTTGGTTTGGTTTGGTTTGGTATTAGAAAAAAAGAATCAAACCGAACTCAAACCAAACCGACGCATATGTATATACATAATTTATTTTATTTATAGATAAAAAATATTATTTAAATATAATCTACTTTGATGATATATTTTTAGTTAGTTTATGATTTTCAATTTTATATATTTTATTTCAAATTTGGATTTGTAAAATTTTATATATATACTTATTTTATTTATAGCTAAAAAGTATTATTTATAATGTACTTTGCTAATATTTTTAGTTAGTTTATAGTTCTCAATGTCTCTCTCTCTCTTACTATATATATATATATATATATATATATATATATAATATTTACAAAATTTTACAAGCCCAAATTTGAAAATAAGATATTTGTAAAATTGAAAGCTATAAACTAACTAAAAATATATCAATAAAGTAGATTATATCTAAATAATTTTATCTATAAATAAAATAAATTTTATATATATATCTAGTTAACATGACACTACTCAAATATTTAAGTTTGTGTACATGTCATTAAAATGAGCAAAATGAACAAACAAATATTTAGTACAAGTAATAGTTGACTTTGGAAAGTGTTTCGAAACTTTATTTACACGGCATTAACTTTGGGAAAGACAAACACTCAAGTATCTGTTGCCCAACTTTCGTTTGACGTGTAATACACGGCTAGCATTAATTGTTTAAATTATGATTGATTTAACCAATTTCTATCATATTATATCTCTTTTTAAAATTAACGTAAATTAAATTCAATATTGTTTATTTAATTTTCATTACCCCCTATTAGTTAAAAACTTTTTGACATATTAAACTCTATTATATGAAGAAACATAGCATAAACATAATTAAAAGGCAATAGTATATTGATATTAATTTAAAAACAACTCGGTACATAATAACCTAGAAAATTAAAGGAAATTAATTCCTAAAAAGAAATAAAGCTTGGTAAATTCCACTTAGAGTTTCTAGGAGAAACACTGTCGTCAACTGTTCCGGCACTACCACTGCATCTTTAGTATCCAAGGTTTCAGCACGATCACTACCTGCATATTTTATATTTAAGGCCTCAGCACGGCGAATCATTTCTTCAACGTGTCCTTTCAATTTCCACATTCACGGTGAATCTCTAAAATTTTCTCAACGAGCTTCAATGTCTTAGTTTTAAGTTTGATAATTTCATAGTTGACTTTTACCCGTCCCTCAGGAGTAGAATTGACGTTTTCTTTCTCTAGTCTAGACATATTAGAGTTGTAGTATGTTCTATGATAGAATTTTTTCTGATTTTGGGTAAAAGATTGGTGCTTTTTATAGCAAGTTAGCATAAGAGTTGCATTGGTTATTCCAAGAATTATCTTGGTTAGATAACCAACTTCGTTAATTGTTAGAGATTTAGTGAAGAATCCAATATATTTCTTGGTTAGAACAATAGCATCATATAATGTTGTCAAAATAACATTAACATTACATTATCATATCACATGTTTCGTTCAAAAAAACAAACTACGCCAACATTAAATATAAGAATAAACTAGGTTGTAAAATTAAAGTTAAATAACGTAAAAGTAGACAAATTTTTAACTCCATTATTCCCCAACACCTTGTCCAACAAAAACACCACCATCGTCAACACCTCCATTTAGTTTAGTAGCTAAAACATCAATACGACCTGACAACCTCAATATTTTATCCTTAAGATATGCAATTTCCTCCTCGAGGTGACTCAGATTCTGATTAAGCAATAAAATATCCCAGAGAATTTCTTCCTGTTCTGTAAAATTATGATGCCCACTTTTGTTAGTTGAGGATGACATGATAGCGAAAAATTGTATTATTTTTCAGGAATATTGATGGATTGAGGATAGAATAGAGCAACATGCTCAATTTATAACCAACTTGTTTCCTTAGTTCAAGTGTCATTTGTTTAGTATCCCAGACGTTAATTAATGGAGTAATAATAACGACAATAAAATTGAGTCAAGTGTAATTAAGTATCAATTATATTTCTCCAGGTTTTGGCCAGTAAATTTAAAGAACTATAATATCTTTTTTATTTTAAAATAAATTTATCTTTTTTCCATATTTCAGTAAAAAGGGTATTAAAGATAGATAAAGATTAAAATGCTTTTTAAAAGGTAAAGATATATAGAAAAAATCTCATTTTGACCAAATTTTCTGTTCAAAAATTTATTTCCTTGCGTAATATATAGTAACTCGGATCAAAATGATAAATAAAGCAGTATAATTAAAAAAGATAGTACATTACTAAATACATTAATATCATAGCATCAAAAAAGAGAGAACTAATCATTACAAGTAAAACCCCCTTAATATTATCGACCCCACCACCGTCATTATTATCTGAACCACAAATTTTGTTATTTTTCAATGCATTATGAACGTGAGTAGAAAAGATATGGAAAGAACGAGATAATGTCCCCAGTTCACGCTTGAGTGTTTTCATTGCACGATGAGGTCTCGTACTTTGTCTTTTAGAAGTCCAATCTCCTAAACTCTATGAGAACGTTTTCTCCAATTATTATGTGTGTTATTGTTGACTGAACGAGGCATGATAGAGATAACAAGATATATATATATAGAGAGAGAGAGTGTTATGGTAGTAGGACAAATTATTGAGATATAAATATGAGTCCGTATACTTTTAGGTTCAACTATTTAAAGTTCATCAAGTAGACGAAACGTTACACCAGTCCCAACGGCACAATGGTTCAACAAAGTGTATAACAAAAGTCTTCTCTATTATATTTTTTAGAAATAGAGGCCTAGTCTAATTTGACTGAAGATTTCTAAAAGATTCACTCAGTTCGGTGTTTTCCATGCAACACAAAAATAAAGAACAATAAAATTAGATCATTAAATACTTTTAAATTAAAAAAAACAGCATATTGTCCATTACAAATCAGTTTTTTCAATCAATAATATTCACAATGGGTGTATCGACGAAATCATGAACATGGTGTTCATCTTCTTCTTTGTAATGCCTTCAGTACTATAAATTACAAATATATATATACATATATAAAAAACCACAACCAATCCATCCTCACGAATAAACGACCTCCAACCATCAGTGAACCTACTCCGGTTCCTCGATCTGTAGCTTCCTACATTTAAATGGTGGTTTAGTATAAATGTATTGTCCATTCTAATAAATGTTAGCATCGTCTTGTTAGTTCCTTGGGAAAGTACTAAGATACCGATGTGGAAGCCACTACATAAAACAAAGATAACAACACATTAATTCAACATATATGAATTAAAAAAAAATAAAGAGCAAATACAATGAAATGTTTTACCATTCCATCGCGACTGACATATGATCTTCTTAGTCTCACTTTGAACTGTGGTAGTGAAAGATAACCGATTTGGATGTACTTTGACATTTTATCAATGAGAGAAAATATTATTCTATAAGATAGATTCATGCGTTGTGTATTTATAGGAGTGTTTTAAATTTCATATTGAAACTCTTCGTTTACCATCCATTGAAGGGACTCTGTAATGAATATCTTTTTAATAAGGTGATATTAACATTGAAAATATAAACTTGATTTCCAAGTTGAAACTCTTCGTTTACCATCCACGGAAGGGAATCTGTAATGAATATGTTTTTAATAAGGTATGGCGTTAACATTGAAAATATAAACTTGATTTCCCACCAAAAGTTGAAACTCTTCGTTTACCATCCACTGAAGGGACTCTGTAATGAATATCTTTTTAATAAGGTATGATATTAATATTGAAAATATAAGCTTGATTTCCTACAAAAAGTTAGAACTCTTCGTTTACCATCCACGGAAGGGAATCTGTAATGAATATGTTTTTAATAAGATATGGTATTAACATTGAAAATATAAACTTGATTTCCCACAAAAAGTTGAAACTCTTCGTTTACCATCCACCGAAAGAACTCTGTAATGAATATATTTTTAATAATGTATGGAATTAACTTCATCCCAACTTTGATCCTTGCATTACTCTTAACTTCATCTCACATGTCTCTTATTGATCTCCACAAACTCACTTCATATGGTGCAGTCACTTCTTTGGTCATCCACATATCTTCACCTTCATATCTTGCACTTATTACCCTTTTCCATAGCATTGGATTTTCATTGGTGAATTCTAGTTGTTTGAATTAAGTCGTGAAACTAAACTGGTTCAAGTTAAAAAAAAATGTTAAATTGTTTAAATAAGTTAGGAAAATAATGTGATTTAGTTGGTGTATTTTTAAACTAGTTGAAGTAAAAAAGTTATTAATAAGTTAGGAAAATAACGTGATTTAGAATTGGTGGATTATAGTTGTTGAAATTATGTCATGAATACTATACTAGTTAAAGTTAAAAAATTGTAAAGTATTTACGTCAAGATTACTTAATCGAAATGAAATTTACACGATTCTAATTATGTGTTTGTACTATTTGCATTAACGATAGGAAAAGAGAAAAAGAACAATAAATCTCCCAGATGGTATTCAAGCGTTCTTATGAGCATTTAAATTCGATAATGAAAATATATAATACTGATATGAGAAATAGAATTTCTTCTTTTTTAGAAAAGAAGATAAATAAGCTATATGAGAGTTTTTAAAGTCATACTCTATACGAAAAAAAGGCCAAAAATGTCCCAACGTATTGGTAAGGAGAAAAGGCTCAAAACGATCCTATTTCATTCGCATGAAACACTGATAGTCCCTATTCTTTGAAAAAGTGGTGCACAAATGGATTTTAACAGAGAGTAAACAACTATTAGTTTGTCACCCACAATTACTTCAAGTTAATAACTTAGTATGTAAATATGTTTTCTGGCTAAATGATTGAAAGTTCATTATACCAACAAGGCTTGCTAGTAGTTGTTAACTGATAGAGATTCATCGATTATGTGATAGTATAAGCCAAAAGCTATAAATTTAGTCAGCTGTGATGACTAATTTAGCAGAAAATTAAAAGGTGAAATATCAAATTAGTCACCTTTTTAAGAATTTCAATTGATGATTTCATGTTTTTTTGATATAAATATTTGGCCCTTAAATTTATATTTGTAAAAGGAAATTTTTCATTTTGTATTTACAGAAATTTTTTGAGTACTGAAATATTTAATAAAAATATAAACATAATAATAGATTTACTAATGATATAACTTAAAGTAAATAATACACTTCAAACTCATGTTTAATTTTTGCCTTCTTATTAATTAAAGTTTCTTAATTGTTTGTAGTTTGTTGTTTGCATCACCTTGATTCTAAAAGGAGTTTAGGGATGAAACTCATAAAACTTCCATAAAAACATGTTTGGTTAAGTTTTTTAGAAATCAACGTAATAAGAAAAACATTATTTTAAGTGAAGAGAAAGACTACTTTTATTGAATAACAATGTGTTCGACAAATTAATTTTAAAAAGCTCTTTTAATCAACTTAGTGCTTCACCAATTTTTTAAAAACTATTTCCAAGTATAAACATATATTCTCAAAAGTATTTCCAAAATAATGCTTTGGAAGAAAATCTACTTTTTCCAATTTTGGAAAACAACTTTTGCTAATTTCAAAAACATATATTTTCTCCCATAGTTTTATCCAAATATCTCACCTTTTAAATGAGAAACTAAACATGTCTAGCATCCCAAAAGCTTAGCAAAACGAAGTATAAGCTTACAATGCTTGGCAGTACATATGAAATTGGTACGACGAAAACCCAAAAACGAAAAACACAAGTTCATAGAAACACAAAGAACACGAAACCTACACAAGCTTCCACATTTGCTCCAGACCTTCAGCTCATGAAGCAATACCTTCTAAAAGTTCAAACCGCAAGAGACTTCACCTCATCCACTTTCCAGAGGTCTTCTTCATACCTGTACCACCTCAAAAACCCTCTATCATTTAGAGTGCGCTGACACATGATGCAGGAGTCACTCATGCAGGTTAGGAATTCGTCTAACCTGGACGCTTTTTCAAGAATCGATTTATCAAGCTTGGTCAGAATTCTCATCGGTTCGAGTGGAGAGTCTTCAGTAATTGCACAATGAGATATGTTAAGCACTTTCAACTTTTTTAACTTCTCCAAGATAATAGCCAGAGCAGGTTTAGATAAAACCGTGCACCTCACACTCAAAACTTCCAAGTTTGGAAGAAATGAAGCCAGTGAAGATGCAAAAAGCATATCACAGGGCTCCATAATTTTGAGTGCAACAAATTTTTGGCAACTCCTGCCAATTTCCTCTATGACACGTGCAGGATTTTTTATACTTGGCATCGTTAGTGACTCAAGATCATTCCATATATGAATAGCCCTGCACATTGTTCGCTTTTTAATTTTGTCCCAAGAAGGCATAACTAGGCGTTTAAGCCGTGGACACCTGAAAAAGAGGGAACTAATTAGTTGTCTTTTTCATTTTTACAGTAATTTTTGCTTCTCTAAGAATAATGGAAAATCATAGGGATCTGATATCCCCGAAACGTTGCATGCTGTATGGTTTCTTGATTTAAGTTGTAATTATAATACTATAGAAAGACGAAAGTTTATTGGGGGAATACCTCTCCGCAGCAGTAGTCAATTGATTGTCGTTAACATACAAATTAGGATGGAAGATCAATGTTTGTATGTTTCCACGACTGAGGTTCAGGCAATTATTTAGGAGTCCGGTCAATTTTTCTTCAGACGGACTGTCGACATACACGTATGGCTTCACTTGGAGTCTGATGAAGTTCGATTGCAACACGGACAAGTCCAGCGTAATCCAGAGAAGTGGATCACAACAAGCTAACCGCCATGCACGACAAACTTGAGGAATCACACTTGTCAACTGGAAAATGTCCAAGTACAGGAGTATCATGACCAAGATATTAATATCAAGGTCCTCCCATCTCCTTACAGGAGAGTCTCCTTTTCCCATATCAGCAGCTTCAGTCTTTCCATTTTTTTGGAACTCCATAAAGCTTCAATCTCCTGAACTCCTGTAGAAACAAGAAAAGTTATTACTTCTCCTGTAGAAACAAGAAACGATCCATGAAGAATATTTGAATTTCTGACGCCTAATTGAATACGTCTGAGGAGTACTGTGATGCCTAAAAGTGAAGAAACTAGGAAAATATAATCTGGAAGAGTTGGTTGCAGATAACAACAGAGAACTAAGTTCTTGCTGGCATAGTTGATGGAAGAATCACATTTCGGATAAAAATAATCACTACTGAAAGCAAAATCATACAAAAAAGGAGGAAGTAACATTGATTTGCACACTGATATATACATTCTGTTCTGTTTGGAGCAGTTTCATTTCAATACTCAGATAATATCAAGGGTGCTCTACTATAAAGATTTTCTATATTTTCTACCGAAATACAAATCAGTAATGACTAAAAAGATCTTAGCAAACAACCTACTCAATACACGTGAAGCAACATAAAATAAACCTTCAATGCTAACCATTGGAATTACATATGTATCTTGTGCATCATCTATATTTAGTATTTTGTTAATTTGACAAGGATCTCGAAAAATTGCAAGTCTTTTGGGACAACTTTGTCCATGTGATTGTAATGTCTACCTCGTCCGTATTAACACCTTCAACCATCATAGTGTCAAACCAATACTCCAGTACAGTGTAACTTCAAAGGTAGACAATTCTAAACTATAATTCAGGACCTTCTTTCCTTTTATATTCTACATGTGCTACTTGTCCCTTAATCATCACTTATTTTGTCTAATTTTGTAATACCACACACCATCATACCATTCACATTTCTACAACACTCATTTTCCAATATGCACTCAAGCCATACACCATCACTGGTTTCACTACTCTCTTACTAAACCAAGCTTTTACACCGGTATGTATCTCCTTATTGCACAACACTCCTGTATTTCAACTATAAGTTTTTTTTTATGTTTTGCGTCTTGCTCTAGCAGAATTCACACCATTGGCGTGGAAATGAGCCTAGACATATGAACGATCTATGTGAACTCAGTTTGATGATCTCAGACCTGAATAAAGGAGTGTTGTGGCAAACAATCGATCAATGTAATACTAGTTTATCCTCACAGTAAGGAACTAATAAGAGAAATGATATCAAACATTTGGTTACGTCCTGAAATAAAGAATCATACAAATTGGGACAAATGGAGTAATGATAAAAAGTCTTCAACAACTAAATTCTATTTAATTTTGAAGCTAAACTAGCAAGTAAGCAAGATGGGTCTTCAATCCAAATCTGACGAAAGCTGAAAAAACAAGTACCTCCGTACCCCAAAATCTTAAAACTTAGATTTTGCCCGCACCCAAGTCCCAAGAACCTTAGCTATAAAGTGCTTTTCATCGTCTGATTTCCGTAGCAAAGAGGGGGCTAACATTAGAGTTTTAGCAGCTGATATGAAGCCTACATCAATCTTCTCTCATATGAACTACTGATCATCTATCTATGGAGCTTATTTTCTTTTTGAGAAAAGAAAAGACGGAATAACCAAAGCACCATTTGCATTTAACCTATATATGCAGGTCAAAAAATGATGTTACAGTTCTTTTGGATAACAATGAGAAGTTTGTACAAACATCAAAAGAAGCTACATTCTTGATTGCAGGACTCAAATTGAATCATTATATAACCAAAATGAAAATTCTATAAATTAAAACCAACCTTGACAAAGAGGTAAACGTTAATAACAAACTAAATTACTAATAATTGAAATGCAAAGAAATCAAGATCCAACACGAGTAAAGAATTAATCAGAAAAACAACCTTAGAGACTGTAAAAAGAAGATAAGACAGAGAGAGATTTAGAACATGCCTTAAGATTGTTTATCCTCTTCAGTGTGCGCAAAACAATTGGGTGAAAATTGTGAAATTTTAGTTGATAAGGAGTGAGAGTTTTATACGAAGTCATCCACCTGTAAATTCATTCTGGTCAAAACTCTTTAATATTTTTTTCCTTTTTTGCAATCCTACCTGTTTTTTGACCAAAAAAATAAAATTAACACCTGTAAATTGAATGCGGTCAATAATCTTTACCATTTTTTCCTTTTTTGCTATCCTACCTGTTTTTTCATAAACGACAGATTTTCTTTTTACTTAATACCTCTTAACTCCCTAAACTATTCACATTTTCCAGTTTAACACTTAAATTATGGAGCATTATAGATAGTTGTTAACCGCTGAACTATAGACCACGTGATATGGAGAGTGACAGTCAAAACGAGTATTACTTGAATGACAGCTCATGCAAATTGATAACTTAAATTTTTCTATAAATATCAAAGTTAAAATAAGCTGGTAAATTCTATCTAGTATAGAATTATATTTAATATTTCTCTGATTTCAGAGAGGATATTAGTAACGATCGACGCCCTCTTTTTTGAAGACTTAAGAGACGTAGATTCTCTAAATGACTTCATATTCCTTCAACTTATCACTCTCGTAAAATTCTCAGATTATACAATCTGTAATCCTTTTAAGTCTCAAATCAGTAAAGTGACCAACTAAACATTAGATAATGTTTTAGTTGTTGGGCTCGCAAGTTTATAAATTCAAAGAACACGAGACTCTTCCTATTATTTAGTAGACACAGTAAAGTAACATTGAAAGATTATGTAGTACTTGTTATTTAAAAATATATTTTTGAAGATGATCTTTGACCATTGCATGTTCAAGCCATTTATCTTGTCTTTCAGTTCCCCATAAAATAATATAAAAGGAAATCAACCAGGCTACATCCTTAAATGAGATTAGAGGAAGTTGTATGAGAATAAGAATAGGAATAAGAATACTAAATAGAATCCTACTTGGTAAAGGATTGTATAGTAGTATCTACAAATAGGGTCTCAACGTAATAATGTAAACACAGCAACAACTAATATTATTCTTTTCATATATTTCTCACATGGTATCAGGCATCTACAATCTTGGTAGAAATCTAAAGAGCTTCCGCTACCGGCAGGCGGCGATTACTCATATATGTTGCCCGTTGGCCAACAAGTATGTTAGCAAAAGTTAGGTCACCATGTATCTTTCCCGTGACTATTTTCTCATATACGATTTATGTAAGCACCGTGCCATCATTCCGTTGACTATTTTCTTCTATCTAACCGTTCCATCTTTCCGGTGACTACATTTTCATATATAATTTGTGTAGCATTGTGCCATCATTCAAGTGAATACTCTTTCATATATAATTTGTGTAGAACTGTGTCATCCTTTCTGTGACTACCTCTTTGGCATATCTGATTTGCATAGCACCGTGCATCTCTCAGGACTACTTTCATATTTAATTTATGTAGTACCGTGGATTTTTTCGAACTATTTTCTCATATCTGAGTTGCATAGCATCATGTGTCTTTTTAATTGTTGGAGGATGACAAAAGTCTCACATCAGTGGTGAATGAGATGGGCGGTTCCTTATAAGGTTTGACAATCCTCCACTCTTTGAGCTAGCTTTTGGGGTGTGAGTTAGACCTAAGACCTAATTTCACATAATAAAAAAGCAGGGCCTGTCTCACCCGATGTTGGATCCCCAAAAATCAAAATTGTCCACGCACCAAATGCTAAGCACTGGGCGTGAGGTGGGGTATTGGAGAATGACAAAAGTCCCACATCGGTGATTAATGAGATAGGCGGACTCCTTATAAGGCTTGGACAGTCCTCCATTCGTTGAGCTAGATTTTTGGGTGTGAGTTAGGTCTAAGACCTAATTTCACATTAGTGACGGCTCAGATTTCATTTGCATAGTTTACTTCGTCTTTTTTGTGACTCCTCAAATCCTATTTGCGTAGGGTTGTGCCATTATTCCAACCCTACCCGTATAATTTTTCTTTTTCAGTAAGGTCGTGCCATCATTCCGACCCTACCCATATTAATATCTCTTTTTCAATACCCTATATAATATCTATTTTCTAATTAGGTCGTGACATCATTTCTACCCTACCCATATAATATTATTTGTTATATTATGATCACTTTCAGCCATCAAATCTAATATTCTAGAGTATAAGCATGTTCCGACCAATTTTTTTGGTGACTTCCTTGTTTAATATAGACTCATCTATTAATTACAACCTGATCCATATACTTTATACTAGATTTTGAGCACTTTGTTGCTCATGAGGAGTTCAGTAGCTTTGTATGTCTTATGTGAGTCACTCTATGGTCCGAAACAGTCTTTGCAAGTTTGGTTTGGGAAGTTCAACATTGTAATTTTATCGCTTTATGTTTTATTGGTATTATGCATCAATTTCAACATTTCATGAGAAAATTAAGCACATTGAAATTGAGTGCATTATGCATCAAATCCAGTATTTTATGAGAAGACGAAGCACATTCAGATTGACCGTCAAATTTGTGAAGTCGAGTGATCAACTTGCACATATGTCACCAAACCCCTCATCGATCCTCGTGTTAATTACATCTGTAACAAGCTAGGTACATGAATTGTATGCACTAGCTTGAGGGGCATTGTTAGAATAGGAATAGATTTATATGATCCTATTAGAATAAGAATAGGAATAGGAATATTAAATAGTATCCTACTTGGTAAAAGATTGTATAGTAGTATCTATAAATAGGGTCTCAATATAATAATGTAAACACAACAACAATCCAATAATATTCCTTTTCAATATTTCTCACAAAGATAAATGAGTTAAAGTCATAATCTAAATGAAAAGGGCTTAAAAATTTCCTAATGTATCGTAAAGGAGAAAAGGCTCACCACAGTCCACTATTATTGGGACTTAGACTCAAAATGCTTCTATTTCTTTCACACTTTTAGTCATAACCCACTAATATCTAACCTCCATTCTTCTATTCCCACTTAACTTAGACCATCTGCAGGAAAACATATACATATAGAACTAAAGATATATGGTAGTCTTGTTTGTTACTTCTTATTTGTTTGCTTCCACATGACCTGCTCGTGATGGACTTGCAATCGGATCAATTTTAGTGAACTTTTCTCGAAAGTTAACCTGTGTATGAAGGAAAAATTATTTAAATTGCCTAGAGCTTTCTTGACAATATTCGATGGTCCTTTGATTTTTTGATGGTTAACAGGGTCTTCCTAGTCTTCCATAACATCTATAAATTTCTCACATATAATTACTTCAAGTTATTTACTTCGTTAGTAAATATGTTTCTGGTGGAATGATTGGAAGTTCATCATACCAGCAAGGTTTTCTAGATGTTGTTAAATGGGTTGAGATTCAATGACTAGGTGACAATATTAGTACAAATCAAAAGCTGTAAATTGAGTTGGCTGTGATAAATTCTCCAAACATGGATATAGTATGACTGATTTAGTATAAAACTAAATATTCTGCCATCAGTAACTCTCTTTTTTTTTTCTCTACCAAAAGTTCCCCAACTTTAGCATAAAGATTACAACTTTCTAAAAATTCAAAGTTCACATAGAAATTACCTTGCATAGAAAACCTACCCAGAAGACATAATAGCTTAGAACACTACGAAAATTACCTGTTCTTAGAAATTCGACAGATCTGACCCTTGATTGCCATCTTCTTTGAATCATACTAGTCCAATTCCTCTTCAGAAATCTCTTCAAGCTGAAATGGTGGTTGCATCCATTCCTCGAAGTCTCTGGTGGTGAGCACGATCTGGCGAACCAAAAAACTCCGAGACAACATACTGTTGAAGAGATTACCGGAGAAAGAACTGTGATAGAATCTTTCACTGTTTGCCATAGCTCTACCGCCATAGTTCTACAATTGGGGAAGAAGAGGAGGAGAAGACCACAATAGCCTAGCTTCCTTCCATTATTGAATGAAATTGAAAATTAATCTACACTAAAATATAACATTACATTGATTTTATATTTCTTATTGCTGGTTAGTGTTGGGTATCATAAGGCAAACCTTTGAAAGAGCTTAGTAAGAAAAATAAATGAGAAATATATTAAAAGAGATTAAAAAATATTTAATGTGATTTGATCCATCAATCTACGTCTACAAGAAAAGTTTTATATTATTAGGCTTAAGTTATCAATAATCATTTAAAGTTGTCTGCAAATTTCACTTAAACACCTCTTCTTAAATATAGGATGTCATGTACGATATGTGTTTTTGTATTTGTATAATCATATTAGTGTATAGGACGAAAATATATGTCTTTGTATTTTTATATATACTTTTCACTCACTTTATACAAACATAAATCATATGACAAAAAAATAGAATGTTTGTTGCGAATTACAAATAAAATAAATGATAACTATAACATTTAATTTGAATCAATAGTTTGTTATTTCATACAATGTTTCCTTTATTGTATTGTTTTGTCAATTACATTATTGTGTAAAGACTAATTATTTTGCTACGCGAATTTGTAGTGATCGCATTCTAAACTTTTTTTTTATCATTTTATTTTTACTTTTTAATAATCATATTTTATCCTTTATTTTATTTTTTTAAGATAATTTTATTTCTTATACTAGTTTTTTATAAGTTTATTCTTAAAATTAATGATGGATTACGGTGCATCATGTTAAAAATGATATAGCTACTGATAAAAAACTACGAAAGAAGTATTATCTGTTAGCAAATAAATTTTTGTCTCAATGCTATCTATTGCTCATATTTTTATAATTCATTAAAAAATGATATCGGTAGTGGTATAATTACACAAATTAATTGCTTAATAATTAATTTCGTGTAATTTGCATCTTTGTTGGGTCATTTATATATATTTAATTGTATAGAACAAGACGAAGCAAACGAACAACTCCCAAAGTAGATAAAATTTTTGAAAAAAACTATACAAAGTACACCTTAAAAATAAATTATTTAAGTGAATTATCTCATTCCATATTAATTTTGAAAATGTCCACACGGTTATAATTACTTCCTCCGTTTGATATTATTTGTTATGGTTTTTATTTTTAAAGTCAAAATATAAAAATTATGAGTAACATTTTAAGATGCATTTTTCATCATATTAATATGCAAAAAATTGTAATTTTATAGTACTTTTCATATAGTTTTTGAATATCAAATTTTTTTTGTTTAAAATACCGAATTAATGTGATCTAACTTATCTTTAAAAATTAATTAAATTGACATTCGATAAGCACAATATGACAAATATTTCTAGACGTTGGGCGTATTTAATTGAGATGCCCCTTAGTTTGCATGAATCAATGCTCCTTTTGTTCCCTTTTTGTTTTTTTATTTATTGTCTTTGTACTTCAATTATTACTTTTGACCAATCATTTATTGTATTTATACTTCAATTATTACTTTCGTCATATTATTTTTATTGTATTTAATACTTTAAATTATTACTTTTGTGTTGTCACCAATAACTTTTGTTATTTTCTTATTTATTATTCTAATTCTTACTTTCATTCTTTTTTCATTTTGTCATCTCATCTCTGTTTATTTTTATTTATTATATTTGAACTTAACACGCTCATTTAAAAGTATAATATTTGACATGAAACCAAAACACATACTCTTTTTATTTTAATTTGATTGTCATGCTTTGCTTTTACAAGAATTAAGTTTAACAAAATAAAAAGAAAAATTTTAATGTTATGATCTGTTGCAAATTTGAGACATTTCTCGATGATACCACGATAATCTATAGATATATTGTGATGGTATTATAGAGGAATGTGAAGTATCTCACTGAAGGATAATAACTCACCTTAATGGTACTATGTTAGTATACAGATGCAATGTGTATGTATCATGAAGGATTGGGGTATTTCACTGAAAGAATGAAACATGCATCAATGATACCTTTATTATTATATATATATATATTACACATAAGAAACCTCTAATCATATCATGTCAGTATATAGATATACTCCAATGGCATCGTGAAGGTCTCACTATAGTATTGAAGCGTACATCAATACATGATTTGATGAGTATTGCAGATTATATGAAATAGTCATTAATGATGATATCATGTTAATATATAATATGTTGTGCTAATATCATCAATTAAAAAATTATGAGTTTATTTTATCAATACATAATTTGATGAGTATTGCAGATTATATGAAATAGTCATTAATGATGATATCATGTTAATATATAATATGTTGTGCTAATATCATCAATTAAAAAATTATGAGTTTATTTTTGAAGAATTGCTCATTTATCAATGATAGTATGTCATTATATATATATATATATACATATATATATATATATATATATATATATATATATATATATATATATCCCAATTTGTATGTTCACGACAATCAATTAACTTTTGCTGCCAAGAGGTATTCCCCCAATAAACTTTCATCTTTCTACAGCATTATAATTATAACTTAATCAAGAAACCGTACAGCAAACAACGTTTCAAAGATATTCAGATCCTTATGATTTTCCATTATTCTTTGAGAAACAAAAATTACTGTGAAAATGAACAAGACAGCTAATTAGATCTCCTCTTTTTCAGGTGTCCACGGCTTAAAATTCTTGTTATGCCTTCTTGGAACAAAATAAAAAAGCAAGCAATATGCAGGGTATTCGTCTATGGAATGATCTTGAATCACTAACAATGCCTAGTATATAAAATCCTACACATGTCATCGAGGAAATTGCAAGGAGTTGCCAAATAAATTTGAGCTTATGATTATAGGGTCCTATGATATGTTGTTTGCATTAACACTAGGACTCAGGTCAATTTTTCTTGAGATGGACTGTCGACATACACGTAAAGCTTCCTTGGGATTCTGATGAAATTTGATTGCAACAACTCCAGAGTTTTCTAAGGTAGTTAATCAGAATAAGCTAATTGTCATGCACGACAAACTTGAGGAATTACATATATCAACTAGAAAAAGTCAAAGAACTAGAGTATCTTCACCCAAGATATTAATATCAAGGTCCTCTCATCTTCTTACAGGAGAATCTCCTTTTTCAATCACAACAGCTTCAATCTTTTCTTCTTCTTTTTTTTTAAAAAAAAAGCAAGTGTTGATGTGAGGTGCAAGATGTTATCTAAACCTGCTTTGGTTATTATCTAGGAGGGGTTAAGAAAGTTGAAAGTGCTCAACATATCTCATTGCATTATTGCTGATGGATTGCATAACTGCTGATGGAGTTTTTTTAAAAAAAAAAAAAAGATTGAAGCTGTTGTGATGGAAAAAGGAGATTCTCCTGTAAGAAGATAGGAGGACCTTGATATTAATATCTTGGGTTAAGATACTCTAGTCCTTTGACCTTTTCCAGTTGATATATGCAATTCCTCAAGTTTGTCGTGCATGGCAATTGACTTATGTGATCAACTTCCTTAGTGAACTCTGGAGTTGTTGTTATTGCAATCGAATTTCATCAAATCCCAAGGAAGCTTGCGTATATGTCGACAGGCCGTCTCAAGAAAAATTGACCCGAGTCCTAGTGTTAATGCAAACAGCACATCACAAGACCCTATAATCATAAGCTCAAATTTATTTGGCAACTCCTTGCAATTTCCTCGATGACATGTGCAGGATTTTATATACTAGGCATTGTTAGTGATTCAAGATCTTTCCCTAGACGAATGCCCTGCATATTGCTTGCTTTTTTATTTTTGTTCCAAGAAGGCATGCCGTGGACACCTGAAAAGAGGAGATCTAATTAGCTGTCTTGTTCATTTTCACAGTAATTTTTGTTTCTCAAAGAATAATGGATCATAGGGATCTGAATATCTCTAAAACGTGCTTGCTGTACGGTTTCTTGATTAAGTTATAATTATAATGCTGTAGAAAGATGAAAGTTTATTGGGGGAATACCTCTTGGCAGCAAAAGTTAACTGATTGTCGTGAACATACAAATTGGGATGGAAGACCAATATATCATTATCAAGGTCCTCCCATCTCCTTACAAGAGAATCTCCTCCCACCATCACAGAAACCCCAATCTCCTAAATTCCTGTAGAAACAAGAAAGTTTATTACCTTCTCTAGATCCATAAAGAATATTTTAATTCCTGATGTCAAATTAATGTTGCTAATCGCCATTTTGTATTCTTGTATACTTAGAGCATGAAGAAAAAAAAAGATAAGCCCTGTAATACAAAGAAACATAGAACAAAAACTGGGGTACCCAAAAGTCAAGAAACCAGGAAAATATGAACTGGAACTTAAGTTGGTTGTAGATAGAAACAAGAACTAAGTTCTCGCAGCCATAGCTGTCGGAAGTAATAAATTTTGGATAAAAGTAATTCTCGCTGCCATAGCTGTCAGAAGTAACACATTTTGGATAAAAAAAACCATTACTGAAAGCAAAATTATACAAAAAAAAAAGAGGAAGCAAACATTCAATATCCTAAGCAGAAAGGGAAAAACCTGAAGACTTGTGATATATTTTGAAGAACAAGACAAAGTACAGAGTACTGGGGAATGGGACAAGTGTATGCTGACAAAGATACACATAGTTTCCAGGAATCAAATAGAAGGGAATGCAAAAACTTAATACTCCATTCCTTCTATTTATTTATTTTTTGTTTTTTATTTTGATAAAATTCTCCATTCCTTATATTTTACGTGAATGGGAATGAAAATAAATAAGCTAACTTCATTGGGGTATTTTAGCAAAGAGTAGTAGTAGTTAAAAAGTTAGGTGGATCGAAAAACACCATGTCAAAGTTTGACTACCATTCGTTGAATGAATTTCTTAAACTTGTGCGGTTCATTCAACAATAATTATGCCTTAATCTCAAATGTGTGGTTCATTTGTCACCATTCCACTCTTACCCGGGTTCAAATTTTCAATACGACTTAACAACAGAGTGATAGGGAAATTAAGGATCATAGAGCCGACCCCGACTTGTTTGGGATGAGGTGGGGTTGTACTTTACAACAGCTATGCTTCAAACATAAACTAGTTGAGGTCGGCTGTACGAACACTCAATATCTATTCCGCTCCATTTGGAGCAGTTTCATTCCAATATTAAGATAATTATTAAGGATTCTATATTACTAAAGGTTTTTCTACAATATCTACCGAAATACAAATCAGCTATGAACTAAAAGGACTCCTGAAAAAAAACTACCTAATATAAGTGTAGCAACATAAAATAAACCTTAATCCAACCATTGGAATTTGTATGGATCGTGGCTAATTCAACAAGAATCTCAAGAACTTGTAAATCCTTTGAGACAACTTTGTCCATGTGATTGAATTATTTACCTCGTCCATTTTAAAATGTCCAACCATCACAGAGGTCACACCGGAGCATTCGAAAATGTAGACATTTCCAAACTATGATTAAAGGCCTTATTTTCTTTCATCTTCTACATGTGCTTTTTGTAACTTGGCATAATCATCACATATTTTGTCTAGTTTTGTATGAAAACACTACCATACCATTCAGATTTTTACAACACTCATTTTTTGATAACATCGAACCTCAGATACAAAACATTCACGCATACACCATCATTAGCCTCAAACCTGTCTTACAAAACCTATCCTTCACGCTGGTATGTATTTCTTTATCGCATGCCACTCCTCTATTTCAACTATAGGGCTTTAACTAATGTGTTGCATCTTCGTCTATCAAAAAATCACACCATAGATTTAGAAACAGAGCCGAGACATATGAATGATCTATGTGAACTCACATTGATGATCTCAGACCTGAACAAAGAAGTGTTGTTATAAATTTACGATCAACGTGAGACTAGTTTATCCTTACAGTAAGAAATTTATAAGAGATATGGTATCAAATATTTTGTAATGTCCTGAAATGAAGTTCTATATAAATTGGGAGAAATAGAGTGTTAATAACAACCCTTCAACAAGAGAACCAATGATAGTTAGTAGTGGGATCTGTATATGACTAAATTCTAAATTGAAAGAAACTAGCAAGTAAAATTGATGACCAGGAAGCCAATGCCGACCCCACCTGTGTGTGCAGGGGAGGGGGGAGGTCCATGTCTACTGAAGCCATATCTTACTCAACTTTGCCAATGATGTCTGTGAATTCTCATTAAAGTTAAGATCATGACTATCCTACCAAATACAGTATATCCCTCCAACCTAATATCCTTACATTTTCAATTGCATTCCAAATAAAGTGAGGGAATTTAATTCTGAGATTTTGTTAATTCTGAGATTTTGTTAAGCTGTTCTCCTAACTTTCTTTTCATAAATTTGTAAGCTCAAATGTACCACTCTTTTGCATCTTCTGGATGCTTTCAGTGAAATTTTTTACTTCTTCAAAATAAAAAAAAAAATATATTTCCCATCAATCTCTCAAACTACTACTCATGTTTCAAGAGTTTACAGGCTAGCTGCCCCGAAACCCAATTTTCTTTTCATAAAAGAAAAGACGGAATAACCGAAGCACCATTTCGCAGTAGAGAATTTTGATCTTGAAGAGTTGGATAGTTTTGAAGAAAAATAGACTTTTAACATTTTAGTTTATTGTATTTTGAATTATTTGGTCTTTAAAGTTTTAGACTTTTTAGTATCTACTATTGGTTTTTGAATTGAATATTTGCTAATATGTGTTATTACTATTAAGATTTTGGATAAAATATTCAATTAAATATTTTTAATTTTTGGTATTTATTGGTGCCTTTATTCAAAAAGGCAAGCGACTCGCCGCGTGGCGAGGCAGACCCTTGTCGCCTCTCGCCGTCCAAAACACTGGGTGCACCATTGTTTCACTTCCTAGCACTTATTAAGGCGTCCCCTTGGGTGCCAACTTTAAGTTTGTAATATTTGGAATGGGGTGGTAGAGAAATTTGAGAAAAGATTATTTACTTGGAAACTTCACTTATCAATAGTATGCTAGGTAGTATACCAACCTATTTTATGTCCCTGTTTCCCATCCCCAAACAAGGTGCGAGGATCAGGAGACATTTCCTTATGGAAAGGCAATAGCAGCATTCACAACTTCCACCTGATAAAATGGGACAAAGTTCTGCTTACATAATGCAATGGGGTCCTTGGGGTTAAGATCTGGCAATTTATAATAACTCCTTACTTATGAAATGGCATTAGAGATTTTGCTCTGGTGATGGTAGCCTCATGAAGGATGTGATCATTTCTAAACATGGTAGGAATGACAACTGGATCTCTTAACACCATAAATCTTCCTTATAGAGTTGGGCCTAAATATAGTCTCTAAATTCTCTCATGGAATTCCCTTTGAACCTGGGGATGTTGTGTATATCAAGCTCTAGAAGGATTGATGGTGAAACAATACAACTCTCGTGGAGGAATATCCCAATATCTTCAACATTGCATTGGATAAGGACTCCTCAATTGCTCAAAAGGACACAACAGTTAGGATGTGCATTTGAAAAGGTTTTTGCAGGACTAGGAACTTGGGAGTTTGATGGAAATGTTAGCAAAGGTGGAAGCTCACAGTTTTGATGAAAGCAAACTAGAAAGGCTAAGGTACGGAAGCAAAGGTATATTCACAGTGAAAGAATGATATACACAAGTATGTTAGCAAAGTCAAGAAGGCCATGGAAGCTAGTATGGAAGACCAATCTACCTATGAAGATTAAATGCTTCAGCTGGATCACACTAAACAATGTTTCTCTTACTCTAGACAACCTGAACAGGAAATCATTGCAGTTGGTCAACATATGCTCTTTTTGCAAGAAAATTCGGGGGAGAGTCAGCCTCATCTTCCTTCACTGCCCATTAGCATATTATCTCTAAAATATTTTTTTCAATTGAAGTTGGATGATGCCACAAAGATTAAGAGATGCTCATATGCTTCTATTCTACAGGCAGTTGATATGACCATCAAAAAGATCTGGAATTTGATTCCTGCTATAACATTTTGGTGTATCTGGACCGAGATGTTTTGATGGTTCCTCAACTCCCACTTCCACTTCCACTCATGCACTTGAAGCCAAGTGCCCAGTCAACCTTTTGCTGGACAATGTAGTCCTTGTATCTAATACTGAACACTTTCTGACTTTCATTAGCACTCTAGTTTTAGAGCGAGCCAATGTATAGGGGCTTAGAATTCTCTTTTTGTATTTGTGAGTTTTGTCTCTTTTTCATTATGCCCATGTAATTGTGCATCTTGATGCTTTAATTAATGGTGAAAATCATTTACAACCCCTCAACTCTGTTTTTAAGAATCAAACTCTCCGCTCAATTTTGAACAATAGACATTCTTACCCCCCTTATCCTATGCAATATCTATTTTCCTCAACATTTTCAATTATTCATCTATGTATTACTTTTTTATATTATAACATTTTATTTTTTAACCTTGGTATTTTACCTATAGTTTAAATTATCTTATACCTTATTATAGACCTCTATTTAAGTTCATTAATATTTTAAGTAAAAAAATATTGTTATGAATTTGTCACAGAATTTGGCACAATTTTTATATGATTGTTATTTTAATACTATATGCATCAAATATTATGTGTGCATGAGTTTAGTGTTTACTTACTCTCTCTTATTTTAATGCTACATGCATTGAATATTTATGTGTGGTATGGGTTTACTGTTTACTTACTCTCTCTTATTGGGGAGACAGTGACTAGATTAGACATGTTGCGTTGCAGCTTACTGAGGACATGACCTTAGATAGAAAGGTGCGGAAGACAAGAATCAGGGTAGAAGGTTAGTAGGTAGGAGTGCTTTGTCCAATTGCCCTTACCAGTAGTCTTAGGACTACTCTTTTAGTTTGTTGTTCTACGATTTCTGTTACTATCTATTATTTCCTGTAGTTCATTTGTACTATTATTTGTCAAAGTACTGTTTTGTTACCATCTATTGTCTCTTGTGCTTCCGTTATGTTTTTTATAGACAGTTTTTATCTTAAGCCAGGGGTCTATTGGAATGAGTCTCTCTACCTCACCTCTGAGGTAGAGGTAAGTTTTGCATACACTCTACCCTCCCCACCCCAGACCCCACTGTGTGAGACTACACTGGGTATGTAGTTGTTGTTTTACATTGTAAAGGATCAAAGATGGCCTGCCCCATTTGAAAAAGAGAAGGCTCACAACAGTCCACTATTATTTGGATTTAGGCTCAATAGTCCCTACTCTGTGAAATAAGTGGAGAACTTCAGGTCATAACCCTAACTATAGTGAATTTTTTTTTATCAGAGACGAAACTTCATATGCTTCTCACGTGTTTCTGATCCTACTCTCTAACCTTCACTGTTCTCCTTCTTCTTACAGACCACCAGTAGGCAAACATATACATTACATATACATATAGAACTAAAGATATACGTTAGTCTTGTTACTGAACTTAGAGTTAGACCTAGTACGAAGGAAAAATTGTTCAAATTGCCTAGAGATTCTGTTTCTCGCCTATAATTACTTCAAGTTGATTACTTAGTATGTAAATATGCTTCTGGCTGAATGATTGGAAGTTCATTATACCAGCAAGGCTTCCTAGCTGTTGTTAAATGGGTAGAGATTCAATCGACTAAGCGATAATTAGTACAAGTCAAAAGCTGTAAATTGAGTTGGCTGTGATAAATTCTCCCCGCACGGATATAGTATGACTAATTTAGTAGAAAATCAACATTCTACGATCAGTAACTTCCTTTATTTCCTCTACCAAATGTTCCCCAACTTCCACAACAAAATCTAATAATTCTAAAATTCAAAGTCAAAGATGAAAAAAATGAAGATTCTGGCGAAAGAAAACCTGCCCAGAAAACATATTAGCTTAGAACACTTCTAAAAGTAAAAAGTACCTGAATGCTCTGAGCCTTGATTGCCATCTTCTCTGAATCAGACCCATCAATTCCTCTTCAGAAATCACTTTGCGTGGCGTATGTTTCCTCGAAATCTCTGGTGGTGACCATGATCAGCTGAACCAGAAATCTCCAAAACAACATAGTGGAAAGTAATATAGGTTGTCGAAGAGAGAGCTGTGATTGAAACTTCCATATTTTGCCATAGCTTTACGGCCATACTTGTACTTGGAGAAGATGAAGAGTGTATTCTCATTTATCTTTATTTATTATTTTATGATTAAAAATGTGCTTACCCTATTCTAAATAGTTTTAAAATACTTTTTTTTTACCTTTAGATTTAAAAATACTCTTTAACATTTTTTTAAGATTTAAAATTGTCCTTTTTTCTTTACTCCTTTCAAAATTTATGACCCACTTACTCTAAAAACCTATTTCAAAAAATTCGACCGAATCGTTTTTGGGTCTTTTGTTCCATTAGCTCTAGTTCTCTTCTTTCTTCTCCCTCGATTCATATGCCTTCCATTCTCTAGTTGATTGCAGGAAGAAAAAGATGGAAGAACTTCATCAAGATTTGTCAAGTTGATGTTTTTACGCATGGCTGCACTACAAACCTAAAGGCCGACACAACAAAGTCCAACACTAACCAACCACAACATCATAAAAGATAAACAAAAAATTCAGTTACAAGATTGTGTATTTTCTTAATTTCGATGTTTAGCCTATCATCAGTTCCGATTGCAAGATCGACTAACCTTCGATGACAAAGTTGTAGCAGCCACTTTGCAAACGGACTTTTCTTCTCTTCCAAACTTTTTCCCTCTATGCTGACATCCAATTCTTTTACCTAATTGATTGCCTACATAATCAATACCAAATTACTCAATAAACATGATGACAAACCATCTGCACCCTACTGTCCGAATATAGGCCAAAAGGGGCAAGACAAAAGGAACAAGCAACCAGGAGGAGCAAAAATAGTTTGTGTAAACGGATTTGTGAGTGGGCTTGAATTTTTATAGCACAGATGGGTCGGGTTGTTGGGCTGGATTTAAAAAAAATAGTGGACCAATAAGATAAAGTCATTTGTCTAATTTAATGACTCAAACATTTCTCATGTCAGGTGGCCTGTTAAAAAAGGACAATTTTAAACCTTAAAAAAACGTTAAGAGTATTTTTAAATCAAAAGATGAAAGGAGGGCATTTTTGAATTATTTGAAATACGTTAAGGGCATTTTTAACCCTTTTTCCTTTTATCCAACTAATGAAATTTGAAAATAAATAAAGGAAAAAAAGATAAATATATATCTGAAAAATCGTAAATGATATGCAAACACTTTCTATCAAATTTTTAGGACATTGATGTTCAGCCATCCAAAAACTAAGGCATATATGCCCTTCACTCTAACGGAAGATTATTGTGCCACATGTCCTTATTAAATCTTCCGTTAGAGTTAGGGGCATATATGCTCTAGTTTTTTAACGGGAGGGACACTAATGTCTCAAAAGCATGACAGATGATATCTGCATATCATTTACGATTATTCGGAGGTATATTTATCCCTTTTCCCGTAAATAAATAATTCAACAACCAAAAGTGAGATGGACAAAAGTGAAAATAAGTTTTGTGGTGTTTTCAAATTCCATGTATATATTATAACTTAAAAATGAAATAATATCATTGTCAATCGCTGATTTTCAAATAAAATTTTAAAAAAATGATTTTTCTTTATTAATTTTTATGTAATTTGTAGTTCCAATAGGTCAATAAGTTAAGATTTGGAATATCTTGTCGAGAGACGCGTGGGAGATAAAAGAATCCTTAAAAATGAATCTACCTAACACAATGAGTCATGGTGGTTCACGAGATCTGTTTTAATAATTTAGATATGAAACTCGCAAAACAGTCCTATGGAGGAGCTTTTAAACAGTGATGTTCACGTAGCATATAATATTCCTCTCATTATGAGTTTATGGTAATTAAGAGGGGTTCTGTGAATGCCCAATAATTTAAATATGGAACTCCCAAAACAGTGATTGAAAAGTGAGCTTAAAATGCTTGAGAATACATATGTAAATGGATACAAGTCTGTCAAAGAGAATAGACTAAAAACTTTCAAAATTACAACACAGAAATAGCACTAAGCTACATGGAAGATTTGTTTATATTTCTCCCTGTGCTACAAAGCTACTCTCCCTTTTGCCACCAAAAGGATAATACTTGCTGCTGGCAAACTGGACGCTGATCCACATCCATTCAAGATGACAAGGTTTTATTATGTTTCATATACACAAAGTTTACATATATTACTGGACCTTAACTAATGAAGCAGCAACACATTCTTAAAGTTGTCAAATTGCAAGAGATCTCACCTCATCCACTTTCCAGAGTTCTTCATACTTATACCACCTCATCAGCCCTTCATCATTTCGACAGCGCTGACACATGATGCATGAGTCACTCATGCAGGTTAGGAATTTGTGTAACCTAGATGCTTTTTCGACAATTGAATGATCAAGTTTGGTCAGAATTTTCTTTGGTGCAGGTGGAGGGTCTTCAGTAATTACGCAATGAGAGATGTTGAGCACTTCCAACTTTTTTAACCCGTCCAAGATAGTAACCAAGGCACTTTTAGATAACAATGTGCACCTCACACTCAACACTTTCAAGTTTGGAAGAAATGATACCAGTGTAGATGCAAAGAGCATATCACAGGGCCCCATTATCTTGAGCTCAGCAAAATTTTTGCAACTCCTTGCAATTTCCTCCATGACATACGGAGGATTTGCTATACTAGGCATCGTCAGTGATTCAAGATCTTCCCACATATGAATAGCCCTGCATATTCCTGTCTTTTTTATTCTGTTCCAAGCAGGCATAACGAGACGTTTTAGACGTGGACACCTGAAAAGAAGGAGATTTGATTAGCTGTCTTCTTTGTTCTCACAGTAAACTTTGCTTCACCTAAATTAGAACAATGGAAGATCGTAGGGCATCTGAGATATCAGATCCCTGAACTCTGGAATGATGGCTAGCTGTCGGTTTCTTGATTTAAGTTATAGTACCATAGAAAGATGAAGATTTATTGGGGGAATACCTCTCGGCAGTATAAGTCAACTGATCGTCGCTGACATACAAATTGTAATGGAAGATTAATGTTCGTATGTTTCCTCTACTGAGGTTCAAACAAATCTTCAGGAGGCTGGTCAATGTTTTATCCGACTGACAGTCCACATATACATATGGCTCTAATGGGATTTTGATATAATTTGATTTTAATATCGACAAGTCCAGCGTCATCCAAAGAAGTTGATCAGTACAAGCCAATCGCCACGCACTACAAACATGAGCAAGTCCAGAAGTCAACTCAAAAAGGTCAAAAGACTGGAGTATCTTCACCAAGATATCAATATCGAGGTCCTCCCATCTCCTTACAGAAGAATCTCCTTCTTCCATCAAGAAATCTTCAATCTCCTAAATGTTTGGGAATAAAAGCTCCTGTAGAAACAAGAAAGGTTATTATTTCTCTAGATCCATAAAAGAATATTTGAACTCTTACATCAAATTAATGTTGCTAATTGTCATCTCTAGATCCATAAAAGAATATTTGAACTCTTACATCAAATCAATGTTGCTAATTGTCATTCTGTTTTTTATTAATATACTCAGACCATGAAGCAAAAAAGTTAAGCCTTGCAATACGAAGAAGCATAGAAGAATGTACATATACATCTGAGTACTGGGATTCCCAAAAGTGAAGAACTAGGAAAACCTGACCTGGAACTTAAATTGGTTATAGAAAACGACAGAGAACTAAGTTCGCGCTGCCATAGCTGACGGAAGTATGACAATTTGGACAAAAATAGTCATCACCAAAGGCAAAATGATACAAAAACATTGATTTGCACATAATATTCCCTAAAGAAGGAAGTTCAATGTCCCTAGCATTAGGATAGAAAAGCAGAAGACTTGTTATATGTTTTGAAGAACAAGACAAGTAACTGAAGAATGAGACAAGTGTCTGCTGAAAAAGATACATCATTTCCAGGAATAAAATAGAAGGTGAATGCAAAAACTTAATACTCCATCCCTTCTATTTTTCGTGAATAGGAACGAAAATAACAAAATTAAAAAAATTTGTGTATCTAGAAAAGAGTAGTTAAAAGATAATAAAGTAGCAGTAGTTATAAGAGTTAGGTGAAAGGAAAAAACAGCACATTAAAAATTTGACTACAATTCGTAAAAATGAATTCCTAAAACTTTTCAAAGACATCTAAACAATACTCGTAAGGTACAACAATAAGTATGCCTTAATCTCAAATGTATGGTTCCTTTGTAACCATTCCGCTCTACCCGGGTTCAAATTTTCAATACTATTTTACAACAGCTTATATGGAGTGATATGACATTAAGGATCTATATAGCTGGCCCTGACTTGTTTAAAGTTGAGTTGGAGTGTACATCACAACAACTATGCTTCAAACCTAATCTAGTTGAGGTCAGTATATATGAACACTCAATATATATTCAGCTCCATTTGGAGCAGTTCCTTTCCAATACTACAGTAATGAACTAAAAAGACTCCTGGCAAACAACATACTTAATATAAGTGTAGCAACAAAATAAACCTTAATCATAGTCATTGAAATTACCATGGTTCTTGTGCTTCATTTATATTTTGTTATATGCTATTTTCACAAGAATATCGAGAAATTATAGGTCCTTTATTACATCTTTGTCCATGTGATTGGATAACATTCAACCATCATGGTGTCATACACGGTCCATTTGAACTTCTAACGTACACATTTCCAAACTATAATTCAGGGACATCTTTCCTTTTAGCTTCTACATGTGCTACTTATACCTTCTCAATAATCATCACTTATTTTGTCTAGCTTTGTATGACCACACAGCATCCTACCATTCACATTTTTACAACACTCATTTTTTCGATATGTCGACCTCAGATACCCTGCACTCACGCCATACACCATCATAGATCTCACAACTGCCTTACAAAACCTTTCTTTCACTCTGGTATGTATCCCTTATCGCATAATACTCCTCCATTTCAACTATATGATTTAAACTTATGTGTTATGTCTTTGTCTATCAGACTATCACACCATTGACGTGGAAACTGAGTCTAGACATATGAACGGTCTACGTGAACTCAACTTTGATAATCTCAGACCTGAATAAAAGAGTGTTGTGTTAAATAACGATCAACGTAGTACTAGTTTATCCTCATAGTAAAGGAAATAATAAGAGAAATGGTATTAAACAATTTGTAATGTCCCGAAATGAAGTGTCATATAAATTGGGAAAAATAGAGTGTTGATATCAAGTCTTCAACAACAGAACCAAGGATAGTTGGTAGGGGCATCTGCATATGACTAAATTCTAAATAAGCTAAACTAGCAAGTAAAACTGATGGATCTTGAATCCTCTTCAAAAAATCTGAAAAACACAAGTACTTTTAGATTTAAACTTAGCACCTAAAAGCACAAAAAACATGCTTAAAATAAAAAGTGAGAGGACCTAAAGAACTAGGAACATTTTGCTTAGTCTCTGAGGACAAGTATCAAACTTTTATAATCAATTAATATTCCCTTATTGTTCTTGAGTATTCCCTTCGTTTCTCATTTTTTGTGAAGATGTTTGACTGAGCATGATATTTAAGACATTCCTATGATACATTTAGAACTATTTAGTGGTTGAAAAGTGATATCACATCAAAGTTTAGGAGGGAATAATTTAATAGATCTTAAATACTTAAAAACTGTGATAAATTTATAAAAATAGAAAGGGTCCAAACATTTTGGGAAGCCCTAAAATGGGAAAAAAGTTGCATAAATTGGAACATAGGGAGTACAAATATTTCAGGATGCAGAATATTCTTTCTTTCTTTTTTGAAAATTGGTAATTCATATTCCTCAGGATTAAGGGCTATGCTGGCCACCTCCAAAAAATTATCCAGGATGCAGAATATTCATCCCAGAAGGAGCTTAAAGAATGGACAGGAACAGAACTTAAATGAAATGGGACTTCAGTTTGGTTCTTGTCGTCTTCTCATAAACAAACTAGAGTTCTCACCAGTCACCATACAACATGTTCCTCAAAGAGCGAAGCATCAATTTAAGTATAAACAATTAATTATGGAACACCAACATTACTCAAGAAATTACCAGCTCAGAGACAAAATCTCTAACTTAGTCCCTGCTGCTACAGCTCAAATCGATGTCAGCTACAAGATTGTATTGAGTCTTTGATCAAAGATATTAAGTTATCACACCTTATGTTCCCAATCAGCCATACTTATAGGATTGAAGGGAAGGATGGGTAATTAAAATCAAGTCAAAGAAAATAGAAATTGCTCCACAGCCTAATCATCAATGTGAACACTTAAGACTGCCTTTCTGCACTGTCCTCCGGGACTTTGGTCTAGTGATAAGAGCATAGCAAGTATATATGGGTTAGGCGCACATCATAGGCTAGAAGCATGTTGCAGAAAAAAAACACTTGTATTTATGTGGAGAAGGATAGAGGATCGGGTTCTTTATCCACTGGATTCAAAGCCGTGTGTTAATGGCCATCGGGAATCTTGCAGTTGTCAGAAAAAAGAAAATCCTTTACGAAATGGCTTCAATTGCAAGCGTATGTCCCGACAAGGATACTTTGAACATTAGGTTTTTAATTTAGGTCAACAGAGTAGATCGCACACCTATAACGGAAAGCAAAGATGCAGTATATCAGGGACTGATTTTGTGCTGGTATCCAGCTGAATTCAGAAACAAATCCTCAGGGATTTGGAAGCCTTTGTAGTAGCAAAGGGATCAGCAATAAATTGAAGCATCAAGAAGGAAACAATTAAACAGAAGATTCTCTGTCAGCCTGGCAATGAATATCAATAAGAAGAAAAGGTCTAGGAATTCTAGTTAGTGAAAAGCTTCAACAGAAACTTGTTAAATAGAGAGGCCCCTTTAGCTTCGGTGTGTGTGTTCTTATGGCTTTCTTTCATCCTCTCTGTCTATGGCCTACACCAATTGGTTTTATACAGATGAGTAGCGTGTATTGGTTCAGACAAATCCATTTTCTACTTTTTTTTATAAAAACAAAGAATTCCATGCCTTTATTGACCAGACATCAGTGAGCTAAAGATGTTTAATATCTTATCTAATAAACCTCTTCCCATTCTTTTTCAGTCTACCTCTACTTCTTCTTAGACCTATCACTGTCAACCTTTCACACACTAGGGTATTTATGCTCCTCATCACATGCATGAATCATCTCAGTCTCGCTTCGTGCAACTTGCCCAACCCACCATGCCTTGTATATCTTTATTCTTAATTTTGTCTCTCCTAGTATGCCCACATATCCATATCCATCTATATTTTAATCCTCCTCATTCTGCTATCTTCATCTTCTAAACGCGAGAGTTCTTGACAGGCAACCCCTAACCTCTTACAACATAATTGGTCCAACTACTATCCTATAGAACTTACCTTTTAAGGCTCGGTGACACATTTTTATCACATAGGACAACGTGAGCCTCGATTTCATCCAAAAATAAATAAAAAATATTTCCCATCAATCTCTCAAACTACTAACATGCATCTACAGAGTATATAGGTAAGATGCCCCAAAACCCTATTTTCTCTTCTTTTTTAAAAAAAAAAAAAAAAGACGAAATAACCAACGCAACATTTGCATTTAACACACACAAGTAAAAAAAATGTTATAATTTTCCAAAAGAATCATTACGATAACAAAATGATAGGTTATCACAAGTAAATTGAAACCAACTGCTACAAAGATTTGAACTTTAAGAACAAAAAATTCCCCCATTTGATCATACCACACTAATAATTGAAATGCAGAAAAACAAAGAAACAAAAATTCACACAAGCACAAATTCAGACCTGTATGATCAAAAAAATCAAATCTTTCTACGATTAAGCTCCAGAAGATGCCAAAAAATAAGACAAAAAAAAGCTTCATAAGGTGTACAAACATACCCAGAACAAGTTTTGGAATCAAGATCCAGCTTTGAATCAAAAATTAATCCGAAAAAACAACCTTTAAAGAACGGAGGAAAAGAGAGAGAGAGATTTGGTACATGCCTTAATTTAGAACATAGGTAAATTGTTGGATCGTTGTTTCACTTGAGAGTGTGCGCAAAAGAAAATTGGGTGAAAAATGCGGGATGATAGTGTAGCTGTGATGAGGAGTGAGATTCGGATACGAGGAAAAATACAAAATGACGATAATAACCCCACGCAGGGTTATTATAATACGATAATAATACGAAATTATGAGATGAAACTGAAATTTTGTTTGGACGTGCGATATGAAAATTTTTGTATTGTATATTTTCTCTTAAATTTAAGAATTTCATAAGTTGTTAAAACTATTAAAATAGCCCTAATTGTTAATTTAATTTTACCAAATAAATAAAAAAATTATAAAATCGCATAATAAATTATTACAAAGTTATTTATTCTCCACTTAAGTAACTGTTTCATCTAACGTTAATTGATCAAATTTTAATTCAATTTAAAAAATTGAATATAAATTATAGTCTGCATAGTACGAACGATCTCTTCATGTTGAACTTGTACTTCTTGATCATATGACGGTAAAGAAAAACCAACATTATTATTTTGAGTCATTTGTTGGTCAATATCATCTGTCACTATATTTTCATGCTTATAAATTATAAATACTTCATCACTCATTTGGTATTCATACAAATAATTATGTAACATTGTAGAGAAAATCACATAAAAAGTCTTTTAACTGTAGGAGTATGTCTGAAATGGTCCCTTACTATTACACTTAACAGATTTAGTCGTTTAACTATTCAAAAATTTATCAGGTTTAGTCCATTAATTATACACTTATCAGTTCTAGCCCCTTAACTATAAACTTACTTATTATAGTCCTTTACGTATTCAAAAAGTTATCAGGTTTGATATTTGTCCATTTTTTTAGCACAAATATCTTAGGTTTATAATAACGGAATTCATACCTCGAGAAATTAAATCCTTTAGCAATTTTTTTTCTATTGTTTCTCTCTCCCCGCTACTTTTTCTTAAATTAACCTTGTGCGAAAAAACCTAAACCTCAACAATTTAAAATAAATTCATGATGAAAAAATATATAAATCATGATTTTATTCAATAGAGGATAAAATGAAAAATATTATTGTTGCTAATGACGTGAATATGCTAAACTTTATTATAAAAAAATATATATTACCCGTTAAATTTAAAGTTTATACTCCGACGACTTCATTAAATGAAATTTGTTTAATTTTTCAGAAATTGAATTTTATAAAATAATAGGTTTGTAATATTTTTTTAAAAAAATTAATCAATTATATTATTCTATTCATTTTATTTTACGTAAAGAAATTTGAGTAAATTACATAAATTTCGCACTAATTAGCACATTCAAGTCATTGGCATATGCTTAATTTATCCTCATTGAATAAAATTAGAACTTATGTTTTCTTTCTTCATTAATTTTATTTTGAATCGTTGACGTTATTGTTCATTTTGTAAAAGTAGTTTGAAGAAAAGAGGGTAAAGATAGAGAAACAACTTTAAAATGGATTAAAGATTTAATTTTACGAAGATTTTCGTTAATATAAATCTAAGCTATTTGTATTTAAAAATAGACAAAGACCAAACTTAATAAGTTTTGAATACTTGAAGGATTAAAATCGGTAAGTTTATAGTTAAGGGAGTAAAATCGGTAAATGTATAGTAAAAGGGATCAAAGTTGATAAGTTTTTGAATAATTAAAGAACTAAATCTGTTATGTGTATAGTTAAGGGGTCATCTTAGAGCTACTCCTCTAGTTAAGAGACTATTTATATCATTTCTATAACACTGTACAAACTACTACAATTTTCACTTATATGTCAATATCATAATTATTCATATCTTTTCACTTATGTGCAATTACACATTTTTGGTGCATTAATTTCATGCTAAAAATCAAACATTATTACATAACATTTAAGTATTTTTTCAAAGAGTGTATTGCTATAATAAATATCGTTCTATTAATTTTATAAATAAAATATTAATATCGAAAATTAAAATATAAGATAAAATATTGATTCTAAAAAAAATCTATATAGTGATAAATGTTATAAAGAGATTAATTGTGTCACTTTACCCTTTTTGATAATTGAAAAAAAAAATATACGGAGATAGTTCTTGTATAATTATACACATTTCCACTTTTTGTATTTATTAACAATAAATAAATACAAAAAATGAGAAGAAAATATCTACGTAACAATGCAATTACATCATTTTGATTATAACGTAAAATGAATCTTTTCTTCATTATCTAACGATGGATTTAAATGATACGATATATTATTATTTAAGTAACAATTAAAATAAAATTATATTTAAACTAATAATACAACATAATGATGGTTTAAAGACAACAAGTAACAATCGTCCAACTAGGGTGTTAGTTTGAATATAATGTCTATTTTGATTATTACTTAAAATCTATTGTAATGTATTGTTTAAATATATTATTATGTAATGATTAAATAAAAAATCGATTTGATATGATTGCGTCGTAAACTTATTATTCTGTCTCTTTTTTATTTATTGTTTAATAATCTTATTTTATCTTTTATCTTACCTTTTCATAGTAACCTATTTTATAACCTAGTTTTCTCGTAAGTTTACCACACAATTTTTCCTTCCTCTTAATCGAAGGTGCAAAGAGAAAAATTTCTTTTTTATGACTTCCACTCAAATTTCGAATGTATGACATTTTGTAAAATTATTCAAACCATCCAAAAGTTATATCCATTAAATACAAGATAATACAATATAATTCAATACGATATATTATAGTGTTAAAAAGAGAAAAATCTTGAACCATTACAGTCGGGTCGGGTCGGGTCCGAAGCGGCTCTTTCCGGCTCAATACAAGAGGACGGGTCTTAGGGCTATATGATAATACGAATTCTTCGAAGTGAGTTGTGGAACGCCCAATTGATCTTTGATCTTTTCATCTGAAAACTCTTTGCTTCTCATCAGCGGTAGACGGAAAAATGGCCGGCGGAGGAGACCACTCTCATGGTGGAGATTTCAGGACTAAGGTCTGGAGTATGAGTGGTGGGCCGTACTGTAGGCCCGTACATTGGAAGCGCAATACCGCAATTGCCCTCGCCGGAATCGTACTCGTTTGCATTCCTGTCGCCTTGAAATCTGCCGAGCTCGAGGTCAGTACCTCCATCCCTCCCTGTTCTCCAGTCTGATCTGAAATGTATTGATAGGTGGTTGGAAATGGAATAGTTTGCTGTAATTTTGGTAAAATATCTGATCTTGTTGACTTCAGCTTTCCGTGTGTATTGATTTATGTTAAAATTCATTAATTTTATTAGATGTAATTGAATCACCTATTTCTGCTTGGTCTCGTGAGGTAAAACACAATCTCATCTCAACTTTTAGCTTTAGTTTTTTTAGGGAAGAAATCAAAGTTCTATATTTTATGCTTTGCTCTACTGGCTCGATGAAATTGGTATATAAACCAAAATGAAGTTCTTATAGTCATGTGGAAACGTGGGATGATGAAGATTCATTGGAGGATTTGCAATACCGTTATAGGGAACAGTGTTGGATGGTCAGGTGATGTGAGGAAATATGAATGCATGGACAAGACCATCACAGGTTGAATGCTCAA